TAAGGACAGTAACAGCAATACTGCTCATGATAACACCGATGGTAGTAATAATTACAATATTGGCGTTTATAACTGTGATGGTCTTAAGTACTGGCAATAACAGGAGTAGTGATAACTTCAAAAATAACCACTAACCTTGCTTACCAGTTAAGATAAAGAAGAACTAGGACGAGAGGTAATTAACCAATATCACTTTTTGGCCTAAAGTATACTTAATTGGATTGCAACTTATTTCAGTGGTTATATATAATTTCTTTTTCTTTTTTTTGCGTGCTTGCTTTCTCCTCTTTTTCGAAGCAAGCACGCGTACTAAATCTTGCTTCAGAGGACAATCGGAAGCAGCAAGTCACAGGAGGAAGTCAAGTTCTGAGCAAACTATCTTGACACGAATACTCGCCATAACACTACTGATAATGTAGCTGTGTGTGTGTGTGTATGTGTGTGTATACATACATACATACATACATACATACATATATATATACATATATATATATATATATACACTACTGGTAATATTAAATGATAATATTTGCAATATTCTGGATAATAATATTCAAAATATTGATAAGAAATTATAATACAAGAGATACTGATTAGATAATGATAAATTATAATATTAAAGGTAAAATTCAACAACAAAATTAACTGACAACAATGGAATGGGGGAAAATCTCGAACGTGTTTATAAGTACCTCATGTTTTATAAGTTTCCGCTTGATAGTAATATATACGTAATGATATGCTTACGTGAAGTTAAGTAAACATAGTGTATTAGTTCTTTTTCTGGTGTAAAAATACAGCTCCACTTAAAACTCAATGTTAAAACTTTTCTAAATACTTAATGACTCACACATTTCTGATCATCACTTTACCTGTATAGAAATCTCGTGGTTTCGATTGCTTAAACACAATAGTAGGTTTCTGAAGAACTTTTGGTCGACTGTTGAGCGCGAGAAGTGTGGGGAGTTTATATACAGGTTGATCAGTTGCATCACGGTATGAGTTGCTAGTTTGTCTTTTTGTTTGGTTGTTTTTTGTTCTAAAGACTCGGGTCACATATAAGTGTATATCCTGAGAATTATAGAATTACCTACCGTCTAGTCAGTTCCTATAAGAAAGGGGAATTAAACAACTATTGTCCATCTCGCAGTAAAATAAATAAATAGGAAACATTGGTAACCGTCATCGTCGCCTGCTCGCCATTTCTTTCCCATTTCTTTGAACAACAAATCCTGGACTTCCGGTGGAATGTTCAGAATTGTGCTCGAAGGATTACACGGCGAGAACACTACTACTGTAATATTCGTTTATGGTTATTAATTACTTATGAAAACATCGGCCAAACTGTTGGCATTTGGGGTGTGTACCTGCACAGGCCCCACCGGCAGGGAGGAGGGTGGGGGGGGGGGGGGGGGGGCGGCGGAGACTTTGCCTCAAGGGTCTTCTGGTCATGGGCGGCCATCTATTGTTCGAAACATAAGCATTAGTACCAGAACACTTTTTTCTCTTACTATCGTTATTATTATGATCATCAATGTTGTGGTTGTCGCTGGGTGTGGAAGTGACTCTGTAACGTGACTGATCACATTGAGCATAGCGGCGCTCCTATACATATATATGCAGTATACAGTGTTTTATGACTACAGTGAATGGCATCAATCATGGTCGGCAGCGCATTACAACGTATCTCGAATCATTATCGATTTAGTACTTGGTTATTGCCTTTCTCGTATCTTATATTCAGATGATTAATAAATAAATGTATCATTCACGAAACGCGAGAGCATATTTCTTGACTCTTAATAACAAATATTGATAATGATAAATAGAAAACTGTCATAGCGCGTAAAACGTATTAAGAAATGTATTCAAAACTTAATATTTCAAACACGCGTCGGTCAGTGTTTACATTTGAGTGTCACCGTAACGCTACAAACCGATACAAGCGAGTGTATTCTTTACAACGAACAAAATTATTCCTATTTTCCAACAGGACGCTAGGCAGCTCTCATAATAGCGAAGAGCCAGGGGGAATCTTTTGCACGCCTCTGCAACATCCTGGATGCTGCTGTTCATGTTGGGGAGCAAAGATTAAAAAAATTGTAGCAAATCCACATTCCTGAAACGAAACGGCTCGTTGCCAAAACTTAAATCGGGCTTTTAAATCTGGAGGTAATTTTTTGCGGTAGACTAACATAAAGTCGCCTCCGAATCACAGGAAAGGATGGCACTGATATATTAATATTCAATTTCTGAAATGCTAAATATCAATTTATCTGAATAGGTGAGCGAAATATTTTTTTTAAATTTTATGATTACGCATTTTAAGATTCTTTTCTGAGCTTTCCTATACGATCTGACAAGTACGTTATGAAGTGTGTAAGCTTCATTCTGGAGGTGGAATTCCAATTACGCAACACACTTCTCCATGAAATAATTAAACAATCGTAAATACATTTTTTTTCAACTAAACGACTTCCTTTCTTCATAAATTCGTTCACGGTTTGATATTTTTTTCCTTCTGCTACTCGGGCCCTTCAATTAGCAGTCATCCAAACGGCGTGCAACTCCTGCAACATCTCTTGCATGGTAATAATGGAGCATGTATCCTCTGAACAGAAGAGGAGAAACGTTTTATGTGATACGGGAAATATTTTAGTATTTAAGTAGCAGAGAGACAGAGAGAGGTAGAGAGGGAGGGTGGCAGATAGGTAGGGAAGGAGGGAGAGAGAGGGGATGGGGAGAGAGAAAGAATGGAGGAAAAGAGAGAGGGAGAGAAAGGGATAATGGAAAAAAAAGGGAGGGGAGAGAGAAGAGGGACATGGGCGTTGACGTCGCGTTATCCAGGGCGCGGCGTACCTTCTGCCGCGACTCCTGAAGAAACCCTTCGCTGGCCCGTCCTCAGCTGGCCCTACATGGAGGAGGTCTACTCTCTCCGTCGCCTCCTTCACCCTCCCAACTGCCGACTCACCTTTCGCCAGGTGAACACTCTCCGTCGCCTCGTTCACCCTCCCAACTGCCGACTCACCTTTCGCCAGGTGAACACTCTCCGTCGCAACCGGGTCCTCCCCTACCCCTCCGTCCAGTTCGGAGGTGGGCATCTGTGCTGTTCCTTGTGCCTCCTGTGATAAGCAGTACTTTGGCGAGGCCGCCGCCAGTCTCACTAAGCGACTGTCTCAACATAAATACGCTATATCCAGGGGACACATCAACAACGCCCTCTTCTGCCATCAGTGGACACAGGCTATCAGATGGACTGGTCATCCTTTTCTTTCCTTCTGCTGATGCCATGCCCTATATGCCAGCCACCCTTTGCATAGACCGCCTGATCCTTCGACCCGGCCTGACCTCCCTTCGCTTCCGTTCTCCTGTCCTCGCCTGCCCCATGTTCCCGTGTTGCCTCTTTCTCT